GCCATAGAGGCTAGAGAGGTGAGCAGAGTAAGCCCTATTCCCCGTTTGGACTTCTCTGTTGATATCAACCCATGGCGCTCATATGACTTTATACAGTTGCGTACACCAACATCTAGTGTATTGTACATACCTCAGGAAAACCTCTTCCATCGTGGTTGCCTTGTTTCCGTACCCTGAAATGCCCAACTCGTCTCTGCGGCTCTCTAACTCCGTGAACAGTGTCGAGAACAGAGCGTTTTGGTCGTCGGGTAGAGAGTAGCGGATTTCTGATCCAATTTCCCCCTCGTAATCACTATGGAATGGAAAACATCTTATTTTAATCAAATCTGTAGTAACAAAGACATCTTTTGGCAAATTAAAAAAAATATGTTTTGCAAAATGGTCCTCGGATTGTGAGCGTGTAATACATATATATTATATATATGTGTGTCACGACACAGTGGAATCAGGTCACCTAAGTTAATTCCCTGTGCAAACAACAACTTCCCACTTCCAGCTTGCGTTTTCTCTCCTACATTATAAGGACACTGTGCAAGACATCCACATGTTTAAGACAATCAAGAAGGGAGCATCACAAACACAACCTCAAAACCCAGCATCACAAGAGAAGGTCAAGTACCTCATCAAATGCAATGCCAGGGAACAGTGGCTGAATGGATAGGCATTGGGCAAAACTGGAAAAAAAAACACCTGTATTTGCACACATGACTGCTCTCAACTCAGATGATGCACTAAATTCCCAGAGTAGAAGAGAACAAGTCACTATTTTTTGCCTGCGAGCACAACACATCCCACTGAATTCCTACCTTAACAGGATCCGCAAGGATACCCCACCTGACTGCCCACTGTGAGACTGCCAGGGTGAAACAGTGCCACACCCCCTCTTTACCTGACCAGCACTTAGTGACCTATGTAGTACTTACCTAATCCCCCCGCCCCAGATATCGCTGATAAAAACCGGTAAGTTCTTTGCCATATCGACAAGCCAAAGGCCTAGAGCTCAGGTGGCCGCTGAATCGGAAAAAGTAAAGTAAAAGTAAGGTAAAGTTTAAGACAACCACCACACTATTTGTGTGGTGTCGGTGGCCTACTTATTAGGCTACCGGACTCGTAATTGTGAGGTTGCGGGGTTGGGGGTTCAGGGCGAGGGCCCGACGTTGTGTCCTTGGGAAAGGCACTTTACACGAATTTTCCTCACTTCACCCAGGTGGGAATGGGTACCCGGCCATAGACAGCGAAAGATCTTGTCAGTATGTTAGTGTTTTAGCGTCTATAAATGGCTGCTGGCACTGTATGCTTCCCAGGAAGTTGAGTTCGTTTCAGAAAGCTCTCAGGTCTGCTGGGGTAATATTATAGATTGTGAAGCGCATAGAGCTTTCTGTCGAGCGGGGATTTGCGCTGTACAAATGCTATCTATAATTATTATTATTATTTTCACCTTGACACCGGGTGCCATCTTGGACAAATCTGACTTTACTTTGTTCACTAACCTTCCAGGCACTATAGAGCGGACAATCTGTGTGATTTCCTCCACTTTGCATCCGTCTCCCTTCACGATGATGAGGCGGTACCCACCACCTGGTAACCAAAAAAAAAAAAAGATGGTAAAAGACAACAAAAGGCTAGGGTCAGTTTTAGTAGAGGTTTTATGGCGCTCGCAACCGCATAAGGTCATATTAGCGCCAGAAGGCTATTAGAAGTGTTACAATAGAGTAACAAACATAAAAAAGAAGAAGGGGAGATAAGGACGATAGAAGTTTGATATGAAAGAAGAAGCAAACCACATCAGACCACCCGCCAACCACCCACAGCAAGGGTAAAGCACCCGCTTCCGTGAGCCGAGACTTCTTTTTATCGTTGGGAGCTGGGGAAGGGTCTTGATTGAAAGAAGGTTCCATGTGAGTTTTGTGGTTGGTTCGACTCCGAGGCTCCCCACCCGCCACCGAGCCCAACAAGTAGACACATTGCTCGGATAACCGAAGCTGTGCCAGGGCTACCCCGGAGCTATACTCTCAACGAGAAAGTACAAGGCCGTCCCGTCAAGATTGACCCAGGGACTGAAGGGGTTTCAGCTCCCAACCGATTGAGTGGCATGGGCCTTCCACCCTCCCGTCTAAGAGGAAAACCTGGGCTAAAGGGGTGTGTTGGCGAGGGACAGTCCGTCGACAGATCTCACCTCAACCGCCAGGTACCTTGTACCCCTCCGCACGGGTTGCACCTCATAATCAACGAGGCGCCCACTCTGTGGGATGGGTGACCTCTCTTTTTACTGCACTTGAGGTCAGCCGTGGAAGAAAAGATTGAAGAAGAAAGAAAGAAAGAAGGAGAAGAGGAAGATACACCAAAGTTAGTGTCGCATTCGAATCCCAGAGGGTTGGGGTCTGTGTGCGACACCTCGTCTTTGAAAGGGTTACACCTCCTGCAGACGAAGCAGTGGGTCTATTTATATCCCGCCGACCCACAGTTGTATCATTTTGCTGAAGCATAACTTGTTTTTTAACGTATTGATTGATGTGATGTCAGTAAAACTGAAGATGGAGGGAATTGGAAGAGGAAGAGAGAGAATGAGAGAGAGAGAGAGAGAGAGAGAGAGAGAGAGAGAGAGAGAGAGAGAGAGAGAGAGAGAGAGAGAGAGAGAGAAAGAGAGAGAAAGAGAGAGGATGGAGGGAGGAAGGGAGAAAAAGGAACACACTTGGACTTACATTCTTCGTATCATAGCATAGTGCACTAAGTGCTTTCCTAGTGGAAATGCAAAATATAAATATAATTTCTTGTTGTTGTTGTTGTTGTTGTTGTTGTTGTTGTTGTTGTTGTTGTTGTTCTTCTTCTTCTTCTTCTTCTTCTTCTTCTTCTTCTTCTTCTTCTTCTTCTTATCATATATACTTAATTCACCTTGAGCAACCAGTTGTGATTGGACAGCAGCATTCCCGTTTGTCTCAGCATTGTCTGAGCCATTCTCATAGGCTGGGTTGAGGCCTGCCACGTCAGGCTTTTGAAAGGTGTGTCCCGACGCCGCACTGTCCCCAACTCTGCAATAGAAATCGTCGTGCACTTTGATGGGCTATGTGTTCTGTCAAAGACAATTACCGGTACAAACAACCGAACGTCATTTCCCCCTCTCCTTCTTTGCATTAAAAAAAATATTATCATAATGACACTGTCCAAGACAGTGGGTGGTTGGCAGGTGCTCTGGTGTGGTTTGCTTCTTCTTTCCTATCAAACATCTATCGTCCTTATCTCCCCTTCTTTTTTATGTTTGTTACTCTCTCGTAACACCTCTTAATCTTCTAGCGTTCATATGACCTTATGCAGTTGCGAGCGCCGTAAAACCTCTACTTAAACAAAAAACTACACCAACATCTATAGTGTTTTTACACACCTCAGGAAAACCTCTTCCATTGTGGTGGCCTTGGTTCCGAATCCTGAAATGCCTAACCAGTCTCTGCGGCTCTCTAACTCCGTGAACAGTGTCGAGAACAGGGCGCTTTGTTCGTCGGGTAGAGAGAAGCTGATTTCTGATCCAATTTCTTCCTCATAATCACTGCGGAATAAAAAACATCTTATTCCAATTAAATCTGTAGTAACAATGACATCTTTTAGCAAATTAAAAAAAAACATTTTGCAAAATGATCCTGAGAAAGCGAGAATGTACATACATATATGTGTCACGACACGGTGGAATCAGGCGCTTATCTACATTAGGGCATTTTGAGTTATTGGTATCATCTCAAAGCCTGTTTATTTGCCTTGCTTGGAAAAAAAATCGTTCTATCTAGAATAGAAGTCGAGATATTTGCGCTTTAAGGAGGTGGGGGTCGCTGGGTTCACAGGTAAAATTAGTGAGAAATTGCTGCCAAAGTTTGGTCATTTCCATGGCTCGAGAGTATTTGAAAACGGAAAATTTACATTTCTTATGCCTTTAATCAATGGTACTCAGTAAAATCCACACAGAAAAAAAAGAAAATTAGAAAAATATTGCCGAACAGCCAAAACATGCAAATTTCTTTGATTTCAGTATTTTGATGAGCGCCTGATTTTACCACGATGCCTCACATATTACCACAGTTTTGGACTCTTGACAAGAGTTGTAGGTACAATGTTAGTTATAACAATCACCATGGGTGGTTGGCGGGTGCCACTGTCAAATCCTACTTCATTTCTTTCCTTCTGCCTGCCTCCCTTTTCCCTTGTATTACATGGCCATTATCTCTACATACTATATTTGTGAAAGCTCGTCACTTAGGCGGCCTGAAACTTCCCAACCACTTAACTTTCAAATTTGAAAAAAATTGACGGTGGTTCAAAATTATTTAAAAAGTGCGCAGTTATATTAAGGAGTCTGATGTCTCTGTAGTTTGATTTTCTGTTTTTCATTAGTTTCGTTTAGATCTAATCTCGGGAAAGTTCGTCTTCTAAGACGCCATTGTAAACAAGTGAGGCTTCCGTTCACATGCAGCGTGCACTAAACCCACAGTGACTCGGCGATCAATTCTTTTGATTCCGTTCATCCTGGATCGGAAAAGTAAAGTAAAGAGTCTGTTCATCTAACGAGATACCAGCTAGTTGGTATATATTTGTCTATATATGTGTATTTTTGCACTCAAACTAAAACCTGTAGGTGTCAAATGAAAAAAAAACAACACCAGGGTCAGTCACATTAATCCTATTATGACTCAGCCTATTTCAAATCTCTTTTACTTTTAGTTTTAGTAAAAGTTTTACGGCACTTGCAACACAATAAGGTCATATAAGTGCCGCAGATTAGAGGTGTTACAAGAGAATAACAAACACAAAAAAAGAAGGAGGAGAGATAAGGACGATAGATGTTTGATAGGAAAGAAGAAGCAAACCACACCAGAGCACCCGCCAACCACCCACTCAAATCTATTTAATGATGATAATAATAACAATAATAATAATAATAATAATAATAATAATAATAATAATAATAATAATAATAATAATAATAATAATAATAAATAGCATTTGTATAGCACATATCCCCGCTCTACAACGCTCTATGCACTTTACACACTATAGGCCGAACATTATCTCAACAGACCATAGAACACTCAGAAACTTTCTCAGTTTCCCGAGAAGCACACAGCGCAAGCAGCTGATTAAGCCTTCAAACACTAACTAATTGACAAGATTTTTCACAGGGTATACCCATTCCCACCTGGGTGAAGTGAGGTAAAGTAAAAATAAGGTAAAGTTTAAGACAACCACCAACTACTTTTTACATAATAATAATAATAATAATAATAATAATAATAATAATAATAATAATAATAATAATAATAATAACAATAATAATAATAATAAATGACATTTATGTAGTGCTCAACCCCGATTAAAGTACACAGGCTCTGAGCGCTTTACAAAACAGTACAACGTACAACAGTAACATAAAACATTGTGTTCTGATTAAAGAAAATTATTCTAAATATCCATCTTATCAATTTAAAAACAGAAACGATTTCAGCTGACATTTGAATTAATCAAAAGATTCGATCTCTCTTAAAGTACTTTGTAAAGCATTCCAGATCTTGGGGCCTTGGTATTCAAATGCCCTTTCACCTATTGTTTTAAGTTTCATACCTGGTGCCATCTTGGACAAATCTGACTTTACTTCGTTCACAAACCTTCCAGGCACTGTAGAGCGGACAATCTGTGTGATTTCCTCCACTCTGCATCCGTCGCCCTTCACGATGATGAGGTGGTAACCAGCACCTGGTAACCCCAAAAAATGTGTTACAACGTGGTGGAATCAGGCTCTCATCAATTTTTGGGCATGTGGAGTTATTAGTATCATCTTAAAGCTTGTTCCTTTGTCTTATGCAACTGCATAAGGTCATATGAGCGCCAAGAGGTGGATGTCAACAGAAAAGTCCAAACGGGGAATCAGGTTTACTCTGCTCACTTTTCTAGCCTCAACAGCACAAAGTCTGCTTCGACTATCAAGGCACCGTGGAAATAGCAGTTCACAAGAGAGTGACAAACACACAAAGGAAGTAGACGGAAAACGACAATAGTAAGGATGAGGAAAGAAAAAAGCAGAAGTTCCACCACCCTTTCCCACTGACCGTAAAGTTTTTTCAGGAACATGGAGGTCCCGCAGCACTTGACCACGCCCTCCGCCATGATAGCGATCCTGTCCCCGAGCGCGTCCGCCTCGTCCATGTAGTGGGTGGTCAGCAGGACGGTCCGGCCTCGTTTGTTCCGCTGGAGGACGTCCCAGATGTGCCGGCGAGCCCCCGGGTCCATGCCAGAGCTGGGCTCGTCCAAGATCACCACCTGAACAGAGGAATAACAGAATGATGTCACTTCATGCCAAGCTGTTTCCAATGCAATTCTTTGAATATCCTGATAACGACGGTGCTGGGCTCGTCCAAGATCACCACCTGAACAGAGGAATAACAGAATGATGTCACTTCATGCCAAGCTGTTTCCAATGCAATTCTTTGAATATCCTGATAACGACGGAGCTGGGCTCGTCCAAGATCACTACCTGAACAGAGGAACAGAATGGCGTCACAACATGTCAAGCTGTTTCCAATGCAATTCTTTGAATATCTTGATAACGACTCCGAATAATCTCACCAAGAACCCTTCTTCTGGGACAGTAACCCACTTTCAGCACTTTTTAAGGACCCTCGGGCAAGTGTTGAGTTCCTGCATGCTGTCGGCATCGGTGACCGTTTATGACGCCACAGCGCCAGAAGAAAGAGAGAATAATCTCACAGTTTTCATAGAGCAGAGAGAACATTGGGTTTCTGACCTCATGATCATAGTAACTCAATCTAAGGTAACGAAATACAATTGGGAGGCATCATGGTGAAAGCAGGCATTCATCAAAATAATCAAACCAAAGAAATCTGCTTTTTTGGCAGATGGGCAATTTTTTTCTAATTTTCTTTTTTTTTGCTCATCATCTTTACGTACATCTAAAAACATATTTCTGTGTGGATTTTACTGAAGAATGTTGATTTAAAGCACAAAAATGTAAATTTGCAGCTCCTAAGAACTCTCACGCTTTGGAAGTCGCCAAACTTTCGCGGCCATTTTCTCGCTAATTTTACATCTATAATCGACAACCCCACCTCCTTCATTCGCAAATATCTTGACTACCATTCATGATAGATGAGTATTTTTTTCACCAAAAGCAAGACAAATGAACAAGCTTTAACTCCACATGTCCAAAAATTGATGAGTGCCTGATTCCACTACTACATTCATGATCCAAGGAAAAAAATATAATGACTTTACTACATTCATAACCCAAGGAAAGAAATATAATCACTTCGCTACGTTCATGACCCAAGCAAAGAAATATAATGACTTTACTACATTCATGATCTAAGAAAAGAAATATAATGACTTCACTACATTCATGATCCAAGGAAAAAAACGTTGTTTGCAATCTAGAAAGGAAAAAAATCAAATTGCTGAACTAAATTCAGGAAATATTTCTCTTTTTTAACCCTTTTGTTTCTTCGAAGTTGTAAGTTTTTGTACGTTTTTGAAAAGAAATGCAGAATCTTATCATCATGAGGAAATAAAAGGTAAAAAACCCCCACAAAT